AGCTGCTTTTCGACGAGACCGAGGACCTGGTCGACGATGGGGTCGAAGAAAGTCTGCATGTCCTGGAGTGCAATATAGATCTCTTCCGAGACTCCGTCTGTAACATAACGAGGTCAGGAAGAAGCGCTCGACATGGCCGCGCTGCGGACAGACCTTGCGCCTCTTCCAGCTCCTCTTTCTTTGCATCCGACATCTCGTACATCTCGTTGTAGAGTCGAGCCGGAATCGACAAAGTCAGGTGGTCGACACGCGCGAAGCTCTCTGGGCCTTTGAACTGCCGCTTCAGGTTTTCCCATTCCGCCAGAATCGTCAGCCGGTCCTTGCCTGACGGCTCAAGACCGATCTTGTCTTCGAACCACTTCTCAAAGCGTTTGTCAACGAAGGTGGATCCGCACCAGTCACCCTCTCCTTTTGCGAGCTCTGAGAGTCGAACGTGAGAGTCGCTCTCTGTAGAAGGAAAAGCTTTAGGGAGAAGGAACGAGGAGAACCATCTTCAGACCATCTTCAGACCATCACCAGTGCATTGTTCGACAACGATGTCCACAGTCCCGCCGCCAGCGTCCACGATCATGAAAGTGTCGCCGTTGCTCATGGCAGTTTCAGCGTCGTTCCTGAGATTCTTGGAGCAGTATACAGCGGCAGCTTCCGGTTCGAGAACAAGACCAAGGCGAGGTTTGTTGATTTCGCTTGATTCGACGAGACCGGCGTGAGCTGCCGCCTCGCGAAGGTTTTGTTTCGCGACTTCGCTCCAGATAGCTACAAGCACAAAACAACGGGTTATTTGTTACTGAACCTCATCTCGGGTTACATGGCCCAATCATCTTGCCAGGAACCGTCAGACAGTAGTGAATGTCCTTGGGACCCAAAGATTCGCCAAAGGTACGATGCAGCTTTTCCAAAAGGAGTTCGTGAAGCTTGCGGAGATAGCCAGCCACCAAGTCCAGCCCATCCACTCCGGGGGGAATGGCTTTCGTGCGGGATGGCGCATCGGGTTCGACCAACGACTTCAGATCGTCGACCAGATGATGGGTCTTGCGTTCTTCGTCTTTGGCTTCGAGAGCCCGCTGGATCGCTGTGTATCTGCACAAGACGAAACTGTCAGCCGTGTCCAGAAGACTCTGACAGGAGTTTGACCTTACCCCCATGCATCGACCTTTTTTTCTGCGATGTTGAACCAGATGGCTGTGGCATTCTTGCAGTAAGGCTGCCGGAAAAGCGGTGCTCAGCGAGAGGGAGTTGGATGGCGGTTTGCAAAGCCCTTCCCTCACCCGCAGCTGGTTCTCCCAGTCGTAGAAGCTGCAGGTGAAGTCCTGTGTCAAATCATTCCCTGCTTGGCATCTTCAGCCAGCTCCTTACCACTCAATGCGATCCGGGCTGGCGACGTGTTCTAAAAGCAGTTCGCCCTCGTTTCAACAAGTAGCCGAGAAGGAGCCCCGACCGAAACCGACGAAGCGCTTACCAAAGACAAATCCCGAGTGAGTCGTGCCAAAGTCGATGCCGGCGACGATGCGATGATCGCAAGCCATCAAAAGACTACGGTGACGGTCACTGGTCTGGTTATGGACGTAAGTCGACATTTTGATCCCGCAAGCTTTGTCCCAATGTGGTCGAAGAGCAGCTGAAGAACGTTTTCATCTTGTTCGAAGTCCCCAGTGCCTGTCGAGCTCTGTTTCACGGCGAGACATGTCAGTCACATGAAGCCGTTCGAGACGGTTGCAAGCCCGCAGCGATCGCCACTGTTATCGGGAATTGCTCATGTCTCATAGGTAATCAGAAACCTGAGGCGGCGTGAGTGCTGCCATCGCTCGTGCTTCCCAGAATTTTACTTTCCCGAAGGTCCGGAGCGAGACTTTGTGAACAAACCCACGAAATTGGCCAAGCGACAACAAGCGGTGCCAACAACGGGAAATGTCGGCGAACCGTGGGTTTCCGAACGAGAGTGGCTCTGGGGACGGCATAACGCTACGCCGTCCGTAAGCCCAATCTACCGCCGCTGATACAGTAGAGTCCCTGTACCACAGGCCCATCGACCGGCATTTGCTTGGCGCTACAGGTTGGCGGGTCCCCTCAGCAGTCGGTCGACCGCAGCGGCGGGTTGGTGCCGAAGAGCGAAGTTTGCCGCTTTTCTTTTCGATAGCTCAGCACCAGAACAGGGCACAAACTACACATGCCATCTGAACCTGTACACGAAGACTTGGAAAGAAAGGATATGTATAGCGAGACGAGATGGTGACGCGGCGGCGGGGCTCGCGTCTGTTCGTTTCATTCCCACCGGTCGACCGTCAGCCTACATTGCTCAATTCGCCAACGATGCAAACAGTGGCTCACATAGAAGAACGGAGAGCTAGCAACCCGGAACGCAAACGACCCGTATCTCGCTACTCTCATCCGGCCTATTTGGTTTCCCCGGCATCCGCGGACACCCCGGCAGGACCACCCACTGCCGGTATTTCTGCTTCCCCTGATTCTCTCTTTCCGTCGTTACTGCCGACAGCAGGTTTGTGTGATTGCGCTGGTCGATCGTTGTGAACTTCATCACTACTACATCAATACTCATAATCTACATCAATAACGATTACAGATCTTCGCTCGGATTTGCGGATCCAGACTCACCGCTGCCGCAAACTCGAAGAACGGGACCGGAGCCGCGTGACCCACATCCGTCTCCTCGAAGCCGAAGTGCAACGCGTGCGAGCGGACGCTTCGGAAGCCACGGAACTGATGGCGGACGTGACCCGCGCCCTCGAGCACAAGAACGACGTCATTGCGGGGCTCGAGAAGCAGAGAGATCGAGGACGGGCGAGGCTGGCCGAACTGGAGGCCGACAACAGACGTCTCAACGAGGAGATGAGGAGGATGGACGCCTTGTTCCAGGAAAAGGACGATGAGATTCAACGGCTCGTGAAGAGCACCGAGGTGCAGCGAGAGCAGCACGTGGTGGTCGGAACCAAGTTGCTCGAGATGCAGAATCGGTATGAGCCACCACCGTTGTCGGTGGTCGACGAGCAAAGAGCTTTACCTACTCGAGCGCTCCCGATACCCAAAGGTGAGCGAGGCTCGCCTTTGGAACAAAACCTTGGCGATCCTCGAACTCATTCACGGTTTACAGGTGCCGATCTTCAGCTTTGGCAGCTGTTTGTGAAGGTGGGCACAGACTCTAGCAGACTAGTGGGTGCCACGCAGATCCTCATCTTGTTCCTCGAACAGGCCGACCCATATCAGTCAGGAACCGTCGACGCTCTACAGGTGTGCAGTATCCTCAACCACGGTAAGGCCCACGTCCTGCAGTCTCCCTTCCCCCCACCCAAGCTGCTCACGAACCATCCAACCTCAGGACCATGGCCAGCACTAGACTATCCGGCGGCGCGCATCCTCTGTTACAGTCCCGACACAACGGAAAAAGGCATCCCGTTCGACAGTCTAGTCTTGATCTGGGACCTGTTGTCCAAATGGATCCAAGTCTTCCTCCAGCACTCCACCGACCAGTCTACGGCGGAACGTATGCCTCGACGGAATCTCTGTAAAGCGATGGAGCTTTGCGGCGTTCCGAGTTCCGAGCAAGTGGTGGCGAATCTTCTCGGTCAGCGGTTCTGGAATCAAGGTTCGCGATCGACATGTAGACTGTGAACTTGGCAAGAAGCACAAAACTCTGACCCACTTATGCATGTTCCATGTTGTGCAGACCGGCCGATTGCCTGGAAGACTTTGTAGCTTGCGCGGCCAGGGTCAGGTTGATGCAGGACGGATTCGACCGGATCGACATGGATCAGGTATGTTGCCGGATAGAAAGGGTGTTTCTGCGTTTACATCTCCTCACTCTCCTGCGGGCTTTCTTCCAGGACAGATGAATCACCATAAGTAAGCGTGCATGCGGCAATGTCTGTATCATCGTTCAAGCAACTGATGTCGTTCTTTCGCACCCATTCTTCAGATTACGATAAATGCCTCGTGCTCATAACGAACAGCCTTGTGTGATCCCGTACATACCCACACCGCCGCTCACAATTCAAGTCCTACGGACGCGGATCATGTGCCTTATGCTGCCCTCTTTTGGTGACCGTCATAGCGACTTTCATATATCAGCACTTTCTTTGCGCTCAATGATATGTCCTCCTCAAAAAAAACGATGCAGTGACAATCGATGAGACTGTTTCAGTTGCCACCGTATGCGATTACATCACTTCGGTCTCTTTCCAGGCTTGCTCGCGGGCAGATGTGCAATAGTTATGAAAAGCGTCGAAAGCTGTCTGGTTTTGCCTATGATCTCCCTTTTCGTTCATGGTGCTCGGCCGCTTCATCGTGCCATGGATGAGATTTGGGCCAGTCCGAGTACGACTGGTACGTGCCACTTGACATGTAAGAGCATTTTCCGATAAGACGTGTAGCCGCACCATGTCAATTCGGCCCGCAGGGCTGATGTGTGTCGCAGAAGTTCGGGTAACCCATAGGGACGGAAGGATGCGCTGACATGTCATTTGGCCGGATCGCAGTGTTATCGAGACCAAATGTCAGGTATCTCTCTCTCCGCATCCCAGGTCCCGGTCATCCTTCATGCAGAGTCGTTGTCGGATTCGAGAAGAAATCGCACCGCTAATCCGTGCAATAGTTAGGTTGCCGCAATCTGTAGGGGACGATTGCTGAACATTTGAATTTGGCAGGCTATTTTCAGTCCTGAACTAACTTTAAAGGCTTAACCTGAGCCACGATCAAAATGTCTTACACGTAACGATACGCAACAGCCCCGTCTTTGATACATGTGGCCGACCACCTTTCTTCTTGCATCAGTTCTCCTTCACGGCATAGGATGATGCCCCCTGGCTGCTCTGAAGGAAACGGGGATCCCCTGGGCTGCAAAAGGAGAAATCAGAAAGAAACAATCGTTACTACACAAGCACTGCATTCCCCTCGTCTATTCAGTCCTACTTCCCAAGGCGCAACGGTTCCTCTCGAACTCGAACGACAACTGAAAAACTACTCCCTCTCCCAAGCAAAAGATATCGTGCGCCATCCGAGATTTGAACTCGAGCCTTCTGCTGGTTCCAAGATCGCACAGGAAAATGGGAAGCAGATGTGTTAACCACTACACTAATGGCGCAATTTCCGCCCTTCACCAGAAATGCAACTATTGAACCAAAGAATCATGGCTTCTCCGATTCGAAACACATCAATTTGCAACGACTCGCAACCAAGAAAAGATGTGAGCAAAAGAACAGATGTGTATGGAAGAGCGCAAACTAAAAGAAATCTCGATAAAACTAAAAACTAAAACAGCACCCCCCCCCCACAACTTCCTTATCCTAAGACAGATAACCCTTATCCATGAGGACCTTCCTCTTTCTCACGTCGACCGAGTTCCACACCCTTCCTCTCGTGGCCTCGTCGCACGCCGCCATCATCTGTCTCAACGTCGTGGCGATCCGCGTCACCAGGGAACTGGCCTCCGCTCGCTTGGCGAGGTCCTGAGGGGTGGGGGGTAGGACGACGTCATGGGCGCCCACGTCGGGGGCAGCGAGGGGGAAGAGGTCCGAGGAGGCGAGGGCCTCGGCGAGGATGAGGGCGATGCTGGGGACGTTGGCGTTGGAGGATCCCAGAACCGCTTGGTTGTTTCTAGAAGGAAGAAGAAGAAGACGAAAAAAAGCGGTTCAGGTTTTCGGCCCCTGTTTGTAATCGGTGAATGGTTTTAACACTCACTGCTGGATGAGGTCGAGGAGGTACGTGTAAGCGAGGGGAGCCTCGTCCTGGTCTTCCACGATGGGCATGGCCGCGACCCAAGCTCTCAGGACCTGGTCCAGATCGAAGACCCCGGCATGTCCAGCGAACTTGCAGATCTTGGCCACGGCGGCGACGGCGTTCTCGGTGGCCAGGACGTTGTCGTCTAGCCGAGCGCCCTGCATGTTGATGGCGGCGAACAGGTTGGGAAGGGCACCGGCGACGGCCTGCGTGTAGGCCGGACCTCCGAACTGAGCCGCGACGCCGACTCCGTAGGCCGCGGCCTGACGGATCTCGGCGGCTGGGTCCACGATGGCTTGAGCCATCAGGTCCCAAAACTGTTGCTGGTACCGTGCTGACGCTGGGCCGGCAAACTCGATCACGTCGTCAAAGACGCAGATGGCCCATTGACGGGCGGGAGTCTGACCGCTGTTCTAAGAAAAGGCCGGAGGGAGGCAGTTGTCAGCTCCGACCACATTGTTGTGGCCCCAATAAAAGCAGGCCCCTTACCAAGAACCGTTGCACATAAGGGGCAAGGATGTCGAACTGAGGCAGATACGCCTCTCCGTGGTTTCGGAAGAATTGGTGCAGAGCCGTGGAAAAGTCTTGCAAGTAGGCATCGTCCATGGTCTCCTCCTCACCGATAGCATCCTCGTCCTCGGCATCGTAGTCCTGATCACGACGAGATTCTAGGGAAGGTATCAGGGTGAGCCTACAGCTTTAAAATCGCGAAGATTCCCGGTGAACGTCGACAGGCGCCAAAGCCCCATGAGCATCAGATCAAGTGTAGTTTTTTTGGGGTTCCACATGCATGCGGGGGAGGCATCGAAAGGGGGAACCCTTGGGCACCCCTCTGTTGCCTCTGAAACCACCTCTCGGAAAGTATCCAAAGGATCATCCAGTGCCCAAGCTCCCGAAGGCCTGCGCTTTCCGCAATAGTTATCTCTGCTCTGAGAAGCAAACATACCTTCACGGACGACAGCACGCTTGAAGTACGCTTCGAGTTGCCCTGCGCTTTCCTTGACAAACGCCAGACGAAGAGTCTCGTCGGTGCTGTTGGGACCCAGGACCTCGAGACACTCTTGCGTTGTGCTGTACAGCTGACCCAAGAAAGCAATGTCCGTCTCGTCGCTGATCGTCTCGACGATCTTCTTTAGCACCTCATGCCAAGCGGCTTGGACGTTGAACGGTGCTGACCATAACAAGAAGCACTGTCAGGGACGCAAATGACCCACCCCATCACCAGATGTTCCCACTCACGTTGTTGAGCCTTGAGAACCGAGATGAACAGGTAAGGGATGACACCAGCGGCTGCGTGACGAACGCCCTCGTGGAAGAAGAACCTCAGGAGGGGAAGGACCGTGTCCATGACCTCCTTGGCGTACGGGGCGAACCCGGCACCGAGTTCGCGAGCGTAGCAGATGAGCATCTCGACGGCTGTGCATTTTTCCTCCAGGATGGTGGTCTTGATGCCGATACGTTTGCCATCGATCTCCAGCATCTCCCAGTCCTCGTCGTACTGCTCTCGGATGCTGGCCTCACTCTCCTCCGTGTCGATTAGTGCAAAGTCGGGCTTGAGCTGAGCGCTTCGCATCAGAGGGGGCAGCACGAACGGAAGGTAAGGCACAAAGTCCTCGGCCAGGACTTTGCAGAGACGGGCCCAGGCGGCGAGCAGGTACGAGGATTGCGGGTCATCGTCGTCGGTGATGGACGCCTGAGTCAAACGGAGGAGCTCGATCATCTCTGCAGCGTCGGGAGCAAACACCTCCTTTCCAACGGCCAAAGCAATCAGGGAAGCGCACTCCATTGTCTTTCCGCGAAGGAGGCGGAATTCTTTGTTGTGCGCTTGCTTGAGGATGTTGAGCAGGAAAGGCATGATCGAGGCGTAGTAAGTAGCGAAGTTCTCGCCCGCACAGTCGGCGACCGTGGCAATGGTGGTAATAGCCTGTTCCTGGACGTAAGTCTTGCCAGTGTTCAGCAAGACGACGAGTTTCTGGAAAATACTGGGGAGGAATGTTGCGATAGCATCCTTCTCGACCTCTTGGCAGAAGTTGACCAGAGCAGCGGCAGCGTGAGTTTGGACACGGGGGTAGTCGCTGTAGTCGAGAACAGGCACAAGCGACGTCAAAAGCATTTCGGCGTACTTGTTCTGGACGGTAGGCTGGAGAGGAAAAAGGCTTAGCATAAGCTTAGACATTGGCAATGTCACCATGCGTTCATAACTTACAGCAAAGTCTGTGCACATCTGGCCGAGGGCGTTGCAGGTGGCCCACTGCACGCGAGGGTGAGGATCGCGCAAGTGAGGAAGGATGAGCGTGAGCACGTTGAGAAGTTCGGCCTCCATGATCTTGGCGCATCCTTCGCCGATCGCAGAGATCGTCATCAAAGCACCATGCCTCTTGCGCCAGTCTTCCGAAGCAAGCATGGAAGGGATGAGGCTGAAGGTGATGGGGAGCACCGACTTTCCGCCTAGAGCACGGGCGATTCGGTCGAAAGCTTCCCCACCAACAATGTCATCCGACTCGACGTCTTCCTCCTCCGTGTCGTCGCTGTTGAACCACGCCTCGTTCTCCTCAAGGTTACTCATCCACTGCAGCAGGACGGGAATGACGCTCTGGCAGAAGCTGGCGTGCTTACGCATCATGCCTGGAGCACCCTCCGCAAGGGTAAGAAGAACCTCGAGCGCTGTCTGTCGCGTAGTCATCTCAAGGTCTTCATCCTTCATCAGCTGGGAAGTGTATTGAATCAACTGAGGAATGCATGATCGAAGTGCTCGGGGGTGGAATTCGGCGAGCTCAATGAGGTAACCTAGAGCGGAGTCAAGCTGAGTCTCATCCTCTTTGCCGATGGTAGGAAGAACCTGCATCGGAAAGCCATGAGATCGAGTACCTGCGTGACGTAAGATTCGTCGACAAATGACTTGCCTGAAGCATTTGCGGTACAAAGTCAAGGAATGGTTCGATCATCTGAGCTTCCAAATCATTCATGTACGCGGCGCTAGCATGCAAGGCCTCCAACCGAACGTCAACGTTCGCATCCTGCAATCCCTGTCCGAAGAAACGCTTCATGGCCTGAGCATCCGTGTCGGACACAAGGCTTGGAACCTGAGCGATGATTTGGAAACCGCTGGTCCTGTGCTCGGCGGCAGGGGACCGTGCGCACTCGAAGATGGCATGCGCGAGCTCGTTCCAGGTGTCTGTCGAGGATGGAAGGTCAGCCCCGCACAAAGTCAAAGCGCTGCTTGCAACCCATCACTTACATCCTTTCAGAAGCATGTGCTTGCCGAGTTCGGCGATGGTGTCTGCGACTTTGTGACGCACGGCAGAGACTTGTTCGCCGTGGAGCGCTTGCAGCAGCTCGCTTTCGATGTACTTCCGGGGAGATTCGCCGATCCATACGTAATAGGAGACCTCTTCAGCATTGGGTGCCGATGGCTGCTGTTTCGGCTTCAGTGCAAGACGTCGCAGAAGGATGGCGGCAAAGGAGCGGAGCTGAGGATGAGGTGGGAAGGGAAGGGGAGTTCAGTCAAGTATCGAAGGGTGGAGAAGGAAAGACCGTGCTTCGCACGAAAGGACGGTAACCAGGAGCGTGCGTCGCGGGCATCAACAAGGAGGTCGGTTTGAGCTTTGCCGACCGAAGACGAAGACTATGACGTTCCGACCTTGCCGGCCGAAGATGGAAGGCAACCGCGCTTGCGCGCAGGACAATGCTCCGCTTCGTCGATGAAAAGGCGGCACTTCACGCGGTTCCCATCCTTACTCGATGGCAGCGGAATGTCGTCCCCTTCGTGCAATGCCACCCTCCCTTCCCGACGATTCCCCTTCGGTTGCAACAAAGACTCACATGCTCATCAGGATACGTCCTGACGACGTGGGCGAGGGCGGCCAGGAGCAGCTCGCACTGGCTGGAGAGTTGAGCGTTGAGGGCCTCTTCGGAAGCGGTTCGGACGGAATTGTCGGTGCTGACGAGCTGGGCGAGGACGGCAGCCAGCTGGTTGACGAACTCTGGAGTGACTGCCTCCGCGACCATCGTTTGAGCCATCTGGGACACGAGAGAGCGAGAAAGAGAGAGACCGAGGGGTGATGCTATGGCGGACGGACTGAGGACTGAGGTGGGAAGTTACTGTCCTTTTTCTTCTTCGTATCTACCGATTCCCCGACAGTTGCGAGACGAGACGAGAGGGGCGGAGAGGATGCAGGTGCCACAGATGTACGTACTCCCTTGATGCGGTGGGGCAAGTGAGCTGGGTTGGTACTGCTGCCAATGAGCGAGGAAAAAAAAGACGAGTCGACGAGCACTCGTTCCCACACTTGTGCACTCGGGGAAGTGATTGGGGGCGAAACAGAGAGAGAGAGAACCTTTCTTGATAAAGAAATGGACAGGCAC